CCGCCCTGGGCCCTCCTCCCTCCTCCCTCCTCCCTGCGCGCGGCTCCGGCTCCGGCCTCCTCCCTCCGCGCCCGCCTCCCGGGAGGGACCTCACCGCCCGCGGCCGCCCCGCCCCCACAACGCCAGCTGGACCCCAACTCGGGAACAGCAGGGCCGGTTCTCGCCCCTATCTGGCCGGTCCGACCCTGGTCGCCTGCCCAGCGACCCCGGACCCAGGCCCACGTCCGGAGCCCCCGGGGCGGTCCTGGGGCTCCTCCCCGCTCCTCTTCTCTTCTTTAGTGGAGGGGCCTGCAGGGCAGCTGGGGAGCTGCCAGGGAGGTCACTCCAAAGCCATGGTCACATGGCCCAAGGACAGAGCCCAGCAAAGGCCCAAGGATGCCCCACAGTGGGGGCAGGACCAGCCTGAGCCCCAACTTCCCTTAGGGGTCAGCCCCAGGCACCTGGGCTGGGCAGCCTGGAAGCCCAGAGGCCAGTGTCTGTGGCCCTGCTCTGGCTGGCCCATGATGCTGGGGGCCTGGGGAGGAGTCCCAGCCAACCCCTTGTCCACAGCCTGAGGACAAAATGGGCAACACGGATGTGGACCACACTGCCTGCACAGGAGCCCCCAGCACTTTCCCACCAGGGACCTGAGGTTTTCCACGGAAACCAGGAGCGGTCACTGGGAAGTAAGGCTACTTAGGAGACAGTGGACACCAGGGACAACAGACCCCAGCCCCAGGAGCAGGTGTCACAGGGAGAAGGCCCCGTTCGAGAACCCCAGGGTCGTGCTGGGCAGCTAGCCTGGACCCACAGGCCCTGGACTGCAGTCACCCAGCCCCCCTTTCAGAAGGGGCTGAGGGCAGGACCCCTGCTCCTGAGAGAGGCGTGTCTGGCACCCACCTCCGTCCCCTCCAGAGGACCTGCGCTGGCCAGTGGGGGCGGGCCGGGCGAGACTTAGGACAAAGCAAAGACGTCCAGCAGCAGCATCTATTTATTGGACAAGTGCAGGCTCTTTCCTAAGATGATGCAGCCGTCGCTTTATTCAGGTGTTTGCACATTCCAGCCAGTCAGGGGCGAGGGAAGGAATGTACAACCAAAAATACAGGTGTAGCGGGGAAATGTACTGTAAACCGTCTCTTTCTTTTTTGGTTAAAGAAAAAAACTTTATAATCAATATCCCACTCACAAGTACAGGTGGGATAGGACACTTGATTGTTTTTGATCTGGCATTCACGTATCTTTTCTCATTTCATATGTACAGTTCACTGGGCGCTACCACCGTCCCCAGCAGAATAGCCACAAGTAAAAACAGTATCAGGAAGGAATGAGTATTAACAAAAGGAAGGAGGCTCTGAAACGCGGCTTCGGGAGGTCAGTAGAAGCAGACGGTGTGCAGGAAGGCCCTCCCACTCTTCTCCTCAAACTCCTGCAGCAGCTCGTCGATCTCGTTCTCCATGTCCTCCGTGTGCTGAATCTGGGAAGAAAAGAAAGGCCGCCTGAGCAGGGGCAGAGCCGGCTGGGCACTTGTGAGTGCACGAGCTTCCTGCCCCAGCTGCATCCTCTTCTTAGGGATGCCTGGACCACTGCGGGGACGCAAGGGGACACCAGGCCCCGAGCAGCCCCAGGGCCCTGCAGAAGGGAGGGCTGCACAGAACAAGCCACCTCTGGCCTGTCCTGGTGCTGACCACTGATATGGGGACTCATTCCCACCCGCCTGGGGGGGGAGGGGAAGCTGCAGGGTTCCCAGGGCAGCCGCAGGCCCTCCCTTGCTGAGCCCAACAGGGAAGGGGGCTAGGCGCAGAGCGGCTGCAGCAGGGCCTGCCTGCAGCCGATGAAGGGATGAACCCTCACCGCCCATACCATCCCCACTTTGCAAATGAGCAGCCCGGAGACAGAAGGGAGTCACTTGGCCCCAGTTGCCCAGGGAGGAGGCCAGCCCATGCTCTGTGGGGGGCTGTCCTGGGCACTGTAGGGTGTTCAGCAGCATCTGTGGCCTCCACCCATGAGCTGCCACTAGTGTCTTTCCCAGTTGTGAGACCCGCAAATGTGTGCAGACATGGCAGATATCCTGAGGTGGAGAACCCCTGCCCTAAAAGGAGGGGATACAGCCCCGGGGTGGCCCAGGGCTGGCTCCTGAGCACACCTGCCCTGGCATGGGCTGCACCGTGGCCAAGGCTGCTCACTGGCCCCTACAAGCAGTGCCTCTCTGAAGTAAAGAGTGGCCCCTCTGTAACTTGGCTCTCGTCAGCGTTACCCAAGTGGAAGTCATGTGTGCAACTTCTGGGACATGTCTTCCGCTTCAGCCTTTTTTCTTGCATGATGGCTGGATCATGGGCACAAGTGCTAGAGCTTCAGCAGCCACACTGGACCACGACACACGTTGGGAACAGAAGCTATGCTGGGTGGCGCAACAAGCGAGCAGGGGCCTGGGCCCCTCACACAGCAGACCAGGTCCAGCCTGCCTCTCCCCAGACTTCCTGGGTGAGCCACTGGTTCTCCTATTCTTCTGTGACTCCACAGCCAGTTGACCTAAACACAGATCCCACGGGTAGAAGACAGGACCAGGCACGTGGGTTTCTCCTTGGGTAGGTCCTCTTGTAGCATCTGAGGACGTTTCAGTCCAAGCACGGCTGCACGGTGGCTGCACAAGCCCTTGGGGTTTTCTCACAAGGGAGGATGCCCAGGGCCGTGCGGGGAAGGCCAGGTGTCTGGAACCACCAGTGCTGAGAGCGAAGATGAGGACGCAGAGCACCCACGAGCCCTCGGACACCATCTCTGGGGACCCCCAGGCTCCACTAGACATGTCCGGGGTTTTGGCAGGGGCCCGTGTCCGGGAAGCTCTTGACGGACACACAGAGCCGTCTTCGTGGAAGCCAGACATCAAGCAGGTGCCTGCACCCCTTCCATCAACTTCACGAAAAGCAGAAGGTGAGTTCTTAAGCCAGAGCCACTTAGTGGGTTCTCAAGCTTGTGGGCCGCTCTGCATTCACTTGGGTTTTAGCATTTGAAAATGAGCTGAATGACAATCGAATTGTGTGACGGTCACTTTCACGGTGAAACTCTCGAGTGCAGGAGATGGTCCCAGTCACTTCCCTCTGGCAGGGACTGCTCCTAGGGGCCCCAGGCCAGGCAGACCTGGACTTCTGAGCCAGAGCACGCGCAGGCTCCTGGGGTTTCTTGCACACCCCTCGCCCAGCTCAGAGCAGGGGACAGGAGTAGGGGTGCTGGATACTCACACACTGGCAGAGCTCACAGATGAGGAAGGCCCCAAGGGTGGCCTCTTCGTGGTTGTCCTGGATGTCCACGTTGATCACGTGCACCGGCTGGCAGGTCTCCTGCTCTCTGGAATTCAGATCTAACCGGGTCAAAAGGACACAGATGCCAGAGGCCTCAGAACCAGGGCACAGGAGGGCGAGTGCCCCAACTGCTCTTCCTGCCCGTGGCCTCTGGGGGCTCAACGAAGGACCAAGCATCAGAGCAGGCGCAAGCACCTGCCCTGCTGGAGGAGCCTCGCCCCGAAGACGGCTGTGACTCAAGAAAACGTCATCATCAACCTCAACACCAGGCCACCCGCCTCACCCTCAAACATCCAGCTCGTCCTGCGGCAAAGCAGCCAACAGCACTTTCATGCCCAAAAAGCAGGCTCCAGTTCCTCCGTGAAACCCGCAAGGCGCTGTCGGCCAGCACACAGGTGGCTTTGCTCTGAGGAACATGAGCCACCAGAAGGCTACAATCTCCACAGCTGGGCCACACAGGTCAGGGGCCAGGCCCTCTGTCCACCTCACTACGGCCCTGCCCACAGGAGCCCACAGATGTGCCAAGAATCCTTCACTAGCCCTGAGCCAGGAAACACAATAGGATGGCGGCTGCACTTCCAACTGGGACGAGGGAGCCCAGGAGGCCGTGATGCACAGGGCACCGCACCTCGTCCCAGCAGAGGCATGCGGGCTGGTCCTGAGTCAGCGCTCTTACCTTCCACCACCTGATCATACACCCTCTCTTCACAGGTGAGGATCAGATCGAACAGATCTCTGCAGTTCTGGAACCTCTCTGGCCGGGGCTTGATTCTCTTATTTCTGTCCAACATGTGCAAAATGCCATTCTGCGTGTAGCTAAGCGCCAGAGTTAAGGAACTTCAGAGAGAAGTGTTGGTTATTAAACCCAGAAGTGCCTGCTGGGTGTCTGCACAGGCAGAGCCATCCCGCCCCCACCCCAGCAGGAGCACCAAGGTGACGGAGGGGCATTCTGGGGAGCAGGCTGTGTCACAGTCCCCAGGTCCCACATAAGACACATTGGGTGGGGGAGGCGCATGCCCCAAGCCCAGCAGACAGGCCCTGACCAGCATCTGGACCATGTGCCCACCTCGGGCTGCAGCCCCTAGACCCACCCTTGCCAGAAAACAGAGACCCAGTGTCTGCTCCCTCCTCGTCTGTGTCTCTTCAACCCGCTGCCTGCCTTTGTTGACTCGTCCTGCAGCACCTTTGCAACTGCTCATGCTGAAGCCCAGCCCTTCAGCAGACAAAGCTCACCTGGAAACCCAACCCCAACTCCAGCTCCAGCTCAGTTACAGAAGAAGGAAAACCTGAAAACCCGCCAAAGGAAGGAAACCCCAGCAGCAAAAAGGGGGTCCAAGAGGGAGAACCCGAGTTAGCTGAAAAGGGAAAGGAAGGGGGCCTGGAGCCTGAAAGGGCTCAGTGCCCCTCGGAGCTCCGGGGACTCACAGGCCCTGCAGTTGAGGTCTATGTTGAGTAGGTGACCCCTGAGCTGGAAGCA